AACGGTGCACACCTAAAATTGCAGTAAATAAATGTTAAAGTAAATAAATTTATAGAAAAAATAAGCATCATATTTTTAGGTTCTTTTATTTTCTTCCACCGTTGGGAAATTCTAATCCATATCATAGAGGTTGATTGTCAAACTGTTTAAATCAAAATCGACCCTTAATAACAAAACAGCCTCCTGGGCATTATTGCTATGATATCCCTACCTACCTTTTCCCTTCATCCTGGCATCCGTGAACATCATTCCTAGAGCTCTTTTGTCCTATATTCTTTTTCACCTTCTTTATAGGCCTAAAACATACTATCTGTTGTTCACCTATTGCTATCCTGATTTCTGTGTGGTATTCTTGCTGCCTAGCTCTCTCCCACTTTGGTTGATCCCACGTGCTATTGACCAAGTATTCTTTCTGAAATAAATATGGCTGAAATATGTCTTTGAATAATAATAATAAATAACCCTAAACTTCAATAACATTGCCACAAAATATCTCCAAGTCATTTGAGGGTACTTAGTATTTTTTGTAAATATTGAGTCGAATTCAAATGTGCCTGTAAAACAGTGCGCTTCAATAATTCCTTAAAGGCTAGCTAGCAATATCCAAATTCCCTAAACTTCAATAATTCCCTAAAGGCTAGCCAGCAATATCCAAATTCCTTAGGAAACCATACTTTACTCAAAATCAAATTATGTTAATGCACTATTACAATACATCCCACTTTGAATAAAATTCGGTTATTTTACAATAAAAGTCTATGGTAAAAGGGAAAAACAAAAGAAAACATTGCAGTGGGAAATGCTAGCCTCAGTTTGGAACCAAAGTTCATATTCTGTCTCTAGATTGTTGGTAATATTATATCCTATGTGCCTGAAGAGGAAAATTTTCGAGCCTTGTCTACATTTCAGATGGATGAAGCAAACAAATTCACACACACACACACATACACGTTTTAAATCAAAATTATTTATAATATTTAAAGCATCTAGATTTTAATTTATTTAGTTTTCTTGAGTATTCAAATACTGGAAAAAAGTAATAGAAGGTCTCTATATTATTGTACTTCTCATAGTCTATGTATATTTTGTTGGCTTGTTTACTATTTTGCTGTGGTTTAATATTCAGTGAACAAAGATACATTAATATAACATTTTAAAATTAAGATTTATGACAACAATAAAATGCAGTCTATGCTGAAATATTAACAAAAATGAAAAAAGTATCATTTATTCTATCTAATGGATGCATTGTTCAGATCTTGGTTTATAGCCTTTTTATAAATTTATCATTTATCTGTACCAGTTTTCTAAGAAGGAAGTCCTAACATATTTATTGCTTTTCAATCAGTTTTTTCACTTAACATTTTATGTTCTATGCTTGGCAGGCTTACTAATTAAAAGTTATTCTGCAAGATTATTTACTAGCTGTGTGACCCTAGGGGAGAAACTTAATACCTCTGTGATTAAATTTCTTATCAGAAATATATAAATGAAAGTAGGGCTCTTGAAAAGATTAAATGCAAAGTATCTAGAAAATACAGTATGCACTATAAAATAATGATAATAATAATATGTTACTATTATTATGCAAAAATAAATCCTTTTTTGGAATAGTATATACAATGTATACATTTTTTATTATTAGGTTGAAAAAAATCTACAGGAAATAGTAGGGGTCCATTTTAATTATAAAACATTGATAAAATCAAATAGAAATTTAGACTGACATGACAGAGTGCAGTTATTTATAAAGGACAATGTTTAAAATATGTTGTTACTGTTAATGGCAAAAAGTTCAAACTAAACATTTATGGACTTAAATTTCATAGCTAAATAATCTCATTTGCATAACATATAAATAACTAGTCTAATTAAAGGTTTCCCTCCACTCAGTTGTTTGTCATTTTCTATAACAAATACAGAGTGTTAGTGTTATAAAATTTACTAAATTATAAAGTGAAATATAATTGTTGGAAATTATTTGCCCTGATTATGACTAACAGAGTTAGTATTTTTGACAATCCAATGGTATTGCGAGTGGCTAAGAAGGCCTTAAAGTTCTCAGATTTATTAAACTTTTAATAAGTTTTCTTCCTGACTCTAGGCTCCTAACTTCCCTTCCCTTGGAGCAAACTAGTTCAAAGGGCAATGTAATTGCAAATCCTTTCTCTGTCCCAAGCTCCTTTCCTTTGTTACAAGCCAGAACTGCCATTTACAAGGGTCTGAGAACTTTATCCTTAAAGTGTAATCATCAAGGAAGGTAGCAACCCTACTTGATAGTTTCTGTGGGATGGTAGGGAACTAGCTTTGATGAGGGTCTTACTCCTAATTGTAAATAAAATCAACTTTGTCTTCTCATCTTGTTCTGTAAGATTTTTGGTTTTTTTAAAAAGAGGCACATTGGTTCTCCATTCTTATGGCTTGTTCTACAACCTTGGACCAGTTACATGGTTAAACTTCAATTTTTCATTTGTAAAATAGGAGCTTCCAGTACCTCCCAAACAGGGTGGTTGTCAGGATCACAGGAGATAAGGTATGTAAAATAGTTTTAAAAAATTATGCAGAGCAAATACTCAGGAAAGGTTATATATAAGATGGTCTAAGGAATTGAATAGACAATTACAAAGATAATTTATAAATCAACACCTGCTTCATGTCAATTGTATATTTTTTTCAAAAATGTAAGGTGAAACATTGAAATGTCAGTTTCTAGCAATCACAGTTGTGTAGATTTTTTCAAATGTCTCAACAGAGTTGGCAACCGTTTGGCAAAGCAAATATTCTCATGTACCAGGGGAAGAAACAGAAATTGTGATTAACTTTATGGAAGGCAATTTAGCAGTTAAGTATCAAAATTCTTTCAACATTCATAAATATTAACCAACACTGATGTTAATAAGACATTGGATACAACCAAAGAAGCCAAATTATAAGAGATAAATAAATCATTGTATAATTATTCTTTCTCATATTTATATTTATTTTATTACATTTAAGAACATTTTACATTCGAGAAAAGTTTCATGACAAAATGTGAGGTAAAATAAAGTAAAATAATTTATATATTGTAATGCACACATTCTATATCAAGGGAGATAGTGGTTTAAAATATATAATACAAACATTAACATGATTATCGTTTTTGTAGTTTTCAGCCCTTATAACTAATTACAAAATATGTGAAAATAATCAAAGTAATCAGCTTTGGTATTCATCCAGTAGTTAAAAAGCAAGGTTTTCTTTAGGCTATTATTTTTCCTATAATAATTAAATCATAGATTTCTATATTGTTTGAAGCCTTCTTTTTAGGTATTCTATATTGTGTAATTTTAGATGTTTTGACTTTATTCCTATGAAGTCTCATTAACTTCTTTATATAGATCTACAGCAAATTGTGTTATCTCTCAATTAATATAACATTTCCCCATATATATTTCCCATTTTATATATATATAAGTATATATATATATATATTTCCCACTATATATAGATAGATGATACATAGTAAATTTCTATTGAATTTATTAGGGTAATATTGGTTAGTAAAATTATATATATATATTATATATATATTTGGGTACAATTCTATAATACATAATCTGTTTATTATATTGTGTGTTCATCCTCCAAAGTAAGGTCTCTTTTTCTCAGCATTATTCCCCCATTTACCTTCTTCTACCTTCCCCCATCCCCTTTTTCCCTTTGATAATCACCATACTGTTGTCTGTGATAAGTTTTTTTTATTTTTTAATTTTTTTAATTGTTCAAATAAATTTGTCTCTATTTTCTTGCCACCACTTTCCCCTGCCCCACCCACCCTCAACCCTTCCCCACTTTGGCTTTGTCCATGGGTCCTTTACACATGTTCCTTGATTTGACCCTTCCCTTTGACCTTTTTTCCATTACCTCCCTTCCTCTTTCCCTCTCGTTACTGTTGGTTTCTTTTTTCTTTTAATGTTGCTGGTTATATTTTGCTTGCTTGTTTGTTTTGTTGATTAGGGTCCACTTATAGATGAGATCATATGCTATTTGGGTTTCAGTCCCCTGGTTTATTTCACTTAGCATAATGCTCTCAATTTTCACTCATGCTGTTGCAAAGCATAGTAGATTTCTTTCTTTCTGCTGTGTAGTATTCCATTGTGTAAATGTACCATAGTTTTCTGATCCACTCATTTACTAATGGGCACTTAGGTTGCTTCCAACACTTGGCTATTGTAAATTGTGCGACTGTGAACATTGGGGTGCATAGGTTCTTTTGAATTGGTATTTTGGGATTCTTAGGGTATAATCCCAACAGTGGAATTGCTGGGTCAAAAGGCACTTCCATTTTTAGCTTTTTGAGGAAATTCCAAACTGTTTTCCATAGTGGCTCCACCAATCCGCATTCCCACCAACAGTGTACTAGGGTTCCCTTTTCTCCACAACGCTTGTTTGCCAGCACTCGTTTGTTGATTTCTTTATGATGGCCATTCTGACCGGTGTGAATGGCCATCATAATGAGTGGTATCTCATTGTGGTTTTAATTTGCATGGCTCTCTGATGGCTAGTGATGATGAGCATCGTTTCATATGTCTCTGGGACCTGTTCATGTTGTTCTCCTTGGATAAGTGTCTGTTCAGGTCCTTTGCCCATTTTTTAATTGGATTGTTTGTCTTCCTGGAGTGGAGTCATGTGAAGATTTTTTTTCTTAATCTCTTCACCTTTTTTACCCAGCCCCCACCAACTCCTTCCCCTTTAACAGCTGTTAGCCTATTTTCTGTATCTGTAAGTCTGTTTCTATTTTGCTTATTGGTTTATATTTTTCATTAGATTCCATATATAAGTGAAATCATATGGTGTTTGTCTTCCCCTGACTGGTTTATTTTATTCAGCATAATATACTACAGGACTACCCATGCTGTCACAAATGGTAAGATTTCCTTCTCTTTTACAGCTGAATAGTATTCCATTGTGTAAATGTAAAACTTTTTTTTTATCCACCGATTTACAGATGGGCAACTGGGCTTCCATAGGACACATACTAAAACTGGGACAACACAAAGGAGATTAGCACAGCCCCTGTGCAAGGATGACATGCAGAGTCCTACAATATGTTATATTTATGAGACTGTCCCTGAGTAGACATTTAGGTGTCAAGTGTATTCATGAAATTAGATCAGGCTATTTAATGGTCCCTCAGAATCAGTAAAACACCAGCCAGTTCAGCCAGTACATTTACACTTCTGAGGAGGGGGCTAGTGGGAGTCTGGAAAGCAATCTTCTTTGTTTGACTTTTTTAGTAAACTCTTTTGACTTACTGGTTTATTTCTTTTTTCTATGAAGATAAAGCTTAAAACTATTGGTTACATTTTGCCTATTGAAAAACAGTCTCTCATCTAAGAACTATCAAAATAATATGTTGGTGATGATATTAATAAAGATAAATATGGAGGATTTTACTTGCTCAGAAGATAGAAACTAGTGTATTTTTGTTTTGCCCTGCAAATCAACATTTTGCTTTCCATTTCTAGCACTCAATTTTATCTAAATCATGTTTCTATGGTAAGTCAGTTGGCTTAAATGGCTTATTATTAAACTGTTATATTTGACTCATGTGATGAAACACAGGAACTTCAAACTCAACATTTATTGACCTACAAGCACCATGAGAAAATAAACTCAGACTCAAAACTTCCATAGAACTACTGCAGATCGCATTACTTATGGTTGAAAATTAAAAAGACACCTGGAAAATATAACTATCCTTTTCAAGGGACAGAGTCCAAATCTAATTATCTCCTTACTTAATATCATTTAGGCTTGAAATAGGATAGTTTATCTAATTTGGGTAAAGAAACTACCAATATCAATTCATTTATGCAGCATGTATACTGTTTTCTTTGATACTGTAGTGATAATTATAATTTTAGAATGGGTGATTTTTTAGAATAATACTTCTTTCATAATCTCTCCTTTTTACAAATACACCCTCTATTTGACTGAGAAACCAGTGAGTTCTCAAATACTTTCAACCTGTCTTTATGTTTCCTTCTGTGTCTTGTGGGAACAATTACAAAAAGCGTTTCGGGATTCTATAGACAATTAAACACGTCTGATTTTGTAGTGAGAAGTCCTCAAATATGAGTATAAACTGAATCAGTACCATATTTTGAAAATAATTCACAATAAGCACAACAGTTTATTGGCTTTAAAACTAAGGACATCTACATTTTTTATAGTAACTGTAATGCATAGATATTGGTTATACTAAAATCAATATTCGTTGTCCCTGGAATATGTGTTATTCACCCACAAAAGCTAAAATTCATGCATGCTTTTAATTCAGGGACTCAGAATCCAGGCTCATCTACTTTACCGACTTTTATGAAAATCATCATGAGGTATCCCCTCTAGCATTGCACCCTTAGAAAGCAAATTTCTTTCTCATTTACTTAAGGAAGTGTAAAAAACAAAAGGCAATGATACAATCCCCTACTGGCTGGATCTTTCAGGTGAAAGTGTCCCAGTAACTCTAGGCTCACTGTTTACTCTCCATCCCTCCTACTATGCCATTTTCTGAGTCCTTCCAGGCACTTTTCACCCTAGTACTTCTGCCCTCCTATTTCTTTATTGTCAGATCAATTGGGTCTACTCACATTCAAGTAAAAAATGAGAGATCCAATGAGTAATGCACATAGGCTTAACACGTGCTGACCAAGGACAAAAGGGAAAAAAAATAATAATGATAAAATTAAATACAGTTTCCTAAATTTTAGCTGGTGGAAGAGAGTTGTAAAATAGTCTCACCAACACCTTTAATTTCCTGTCTAGTAGACACTGGCCATGGAAGGAGAATGAAACTTTTCATGCTTTTATAAAGGAGTTTAGTCTTCACAGTGTGAAAACGTATTTCAAATGGGTTTTACGCAATTCTTCCACAAAAAATCAAATTAATGTTTTCTTTGCTAATCTCTTCAAAAACATATATAAAATTACTATTATGCTATTAAACACTTCATAATACCTAGTGTTATTCATTTATTTTAAATACTTCTGTCTAAAAAGAAATTGAGGTGGCCAACTAGAAGAGCATAATATTGTAAAATTAGGTTGATATAAGATAAATGGGAGCCAGAACCAAAAAAGAGGCCAAATAAAACATGCGTAGAGCAATTGCAAATACAGTTGTTACTATTTGAGGTCAAAAATCTTACCTTTATTGTAATATTACCTATATGGGTCATTTAAAATTAATTGATTTTTATTTAACAATCTTCTACCTATAAATAAAAAGTATTACCAAAGCAACATGAGTGAAAACAATACATGTGAGTCTATCTGTAATTAAACTTATGCTGGCAGTTAAATTACTGCAACTACATAAACATATAACACTTAATTAAATCAGTAGGTTATAATACTTACATTAACCTCAGCTTTTTTGCAAGGTACACATGTAACTAAAAATAAAAACAAAGATTTTACTTCATGTCATGGAAAAATATCACCTTGTTTCGTTTATGATTAGTTTTAAAAAAGAAAAAAAAACTAAAGAAAGGATATTCAAGAAACTCCTATAAACGTATTACTAAAAGCACCATCTGCTGGTTATGCTAAACTGATGCATTTCAATCTGTCAATATAGATCCTTTGATAAAAGAATAGAAAAAGATTTCTCTCTTGCATGCCTGCACAGATCCCCCCTCTGCATATTGAAGTTACCAGTCTAAAAAGAGAAGGTAGATTTATTGGTAAAACGTTTTAGTCTACATGCCTGTGCTTGCTCTGGAAATCAATTTTTCAGCCTGCCTTTTATTGGAAAACTTAGGTACATCAGTAAAAGTGTTTTCTCTTCTAAATCAGACTTATATAACCACAACGCACTTGTATTACAGTAAGTACAGTGGCCTCCCCAACAAGAGACACTGTAAAAGCCAAGTGCAGAGTTTTACCTAGCCCAGCCAGCAGACTAATTCTAGCACACAGTATGTTCTAAATAAGTGTTAGCTGAATGAAGAAAGAAAAAAATAAATTCATCGCTATGACTTGGCGTGAGATCAGACCAAGTTGAGGGGGGGAAATGCTCATATTTTTTGATTCATTAGATAGATATTTTTAACCATGCCAAAATGATGTGTGAATTTAACATGAACAAGGAAGGAGTGATGCTTTTTTATTTTAAAAGAAAGATCTACATGCAAAGAACAAATTTAGAATTTTTTGAGATTTCAAATATGTGGCAAGATATTATCCTGTGAAATTTAATGGGCTTTTAGTATAAGCATGTAACATAATGGATTATAAACACAAGACAAAAAATCTTCTGTTGCTAAATAGCTTTGTTGTAAATTCAATAGAAATTGTTTTCTCCATTCTCTTGAGAGTACTGAATTATATTATTTCCAATTAAAATTTAAGGCATGAAATTCTGACCTGTAAGAGGAAAAATTTTTTAAATTAATTTCTCCCCATTACTGATGAAGAAGTTGTTTTAAGGATAATCAAGGTACGGTCAAGTCACACAAATTTGATGTAGTTGGCATTTTAATTTGGGCCCTTTGTCTGCAAAAACATTGTTTGTCAAATTTATGAAGAAGACTCTCAATTATACCAGTACATTTTTTCTGGGATGTGGAAAGAGGTATAGAGGTGAGGGTGAATACAATTTTCCCTATATAAGGGTAACATCTTCCAAGCTTCACTATGATGTGACTACCAATTCTCTTACTTGTTCCAAATATACCTCTTTAAGTAAAATATACTGACATTAAAAACTATGTACCTGGCTCCTCTAACCACTTTAAGAATAAACTCTCAGTATTTCAATACGTGAGTCCATATCACCATTGTACTAAAAATGACTCTTCTTTCACTATGATTGAGCAAATTTAACAATTCATTCAACAGGTACTTTCCCAAGTGTTGGAACATTTCTGAATTCAACAGAGAGAAAAAACACTTTCATACGAACTCTGTAGGTGATGATAAAAAGTGTTTAGCATAGCTTCAGAGGAAAACTGCTTCTGCCAGGAATACTTACCTAGTTCTATAGTAAAAATAACTTTTTAAATCCCAATATCAACAGAGCTCTTCATCAAACAGGTGTCAGAATTAGCTTTAAAAAGTGAAACATGTATAGTCTACACAAAATTTTTAAAAATCTATCTGATTTTTGTATATGTATACCAAAAAGCCCAAGATTGAATGTTGGGACTTTGGAATTCACAACTACATGATCTCTTTCTCTCTCTCTCTCTTTCTCTCGCTCTCTCAAGGATTGTTACATATAAACAGTTGTGCAAATAGAAATGTCAGTTTACAGTATCTATTACATAGATATTTATGTTAATAACAAAAACAAGAATAATAATTTTTAGTAAAAATGCATTAGCTGTCCATCCAATACCATTTTCTCTCAGCATTCAGAGGTTCTCTGAGAGAACCACCGTTTTTCCATTGTGTTGAAGACACAAGGTGTGGATGGCCTTGGCTTCTGCAGAGAGCTCTGAATGTCACGTCACTCCCTGTTCTTCTATTCTTCTCGCCCCAATGAGAAGTAGCCCAGACCTTTGCACATGTCTCATGGCAATCTCCTATCTGCTTGGCTTCCTGACTAACGTTATTCCAAACCGAATAAATCCCAGAATTTCCTTCCCCAGTTGGTGGCTGGAGGAAAAACACTTTCTCTTAAACAAGGAGGCAAGCACCCTCATTGTCACCATCATGATCAGGATCTGGCCTTTAGATGAGGCTGCACTGCAGAAGAAGAGAGATGGAAAAATCCTGAGTCCTGGGGAAACATTGTTCCCTTGCCTGGAGTTCATCTTACATTGGAAGTGTTGCATGAGCCAAACACTTCCCTTTATTGCTTATACCAGTTTAATTTAGGCTTTCATCTACTTGCAAACAAGCACATAATAATTGAAATGCATTGTGTTAAATGCTGCATTTGGAGACAGATATTTTTATTACCTCCTTTTTATTGATAAGAAAACAGATTTGAAGAGGTTAAGTGAATTCCTTAAGATGACACATTTAATAAATTATCAGAGCTACAAATCAAACAGTGTAAAGTCTACACTCGTAAACCTTACACTATAGGTACCTTAGATGAAAGCATGGTT